AAAATTTGGTTTCCAAATCTAATGAAGTTAGTGACACATTGCAGGATTTTGGTGATGACAAGCCTTTGGCATGGAGTCACTTCAATGCAGAAGGTGATGTTGAGTTCAAAGCTGTTCTGTTTGTGCCTCCTAAGGCTCCTCATGATCTATACGAGAGCTATTATAACAGCAAAAAATCCAACTTGAAGTTGTATGTTCGGAGGGTTTTCATCTCAGACGAGTTTGATGAGCTCTTGCCAAAGTATTTGAACTTTTTGCTGGTAAATGAGAAGTGGCCAAGTACTATAACAGAGATATGTTTGGCTTAATTTGTAAGATCTATTCTCAAAATTATCATTCTCTGCAGGGTCTTGTTGATTCCGATACGTTACCTCTCAACGTTTCACGAGAGATGCTCCAACAACACAGCAGCTTGAAGACAATTAAGAAGAAGCTCATCCGCAAGGCCCTTGATATGATCCGTAAAATTGCTGATGAGGATCCTGATGAGTCCAGTGACAAGGACAAGAAAGGTACTCCTTAAGAATTTGATTCTAGTGATGCTATAAAGACGTGCTGGTTTCCTTCCATGTTTTATTTCATTAACTTTAAACCTTCATTAACAAGCAGATGCTGAGAAGACTAGTGATGATGATGAGAAGAAAGGCCAGTATACTAGATTCTGGAATGAGTTTGGAAAATCGATTAAACTTGGTATTATTGAGGATGCTACTAACAGAAATCGTCTGGCAAAACTGCTCAGATTTGAGAGGTACCTTGCTTTTGTTTCAGATTCAGTTCATTCCTGGGCTGCTTTATTTCTACCTTGTTGATGCTAACCTAAATGAACTCACTTGCAGCACCAAGTCGGACGGCAAATTGACTTCACTGGATCAGTATATCTCAAGAATGAAATCAGGACAAAAGGATATCTTTTACATAACTGGAACAAGCAAGGAACAGCTGGAGAAATCCCCATTCCTTGAGCGACTTAAGAAGAAGAACTATGAGGTGAATTTTAGTTGGGAGGTTTCTCCTCTTGGTGTTTGTGTTTATTTTCTTTGCTATTTTTTTTCCTCCTTGGAAATTCATCACTTTCCCATATCTAATTTTGGTCTCTTTACAGGTTATCCTTTTAACGGATCCGGTCGACGAGTACTTGATGCAATATCTCATGGACTACGAAGACAAGAAATTCCAAAATGTATCAAAGGAGGGTCTCAAACTCGGGAAAGACTCAAAGGCCAAAGAACTCAAGGAATCCTTCAAGGATCTTACAAAGTGGTGGAAGACTGCCCTTTCTTTCGATAATGTTGATGATGTGAAAGTTTCTAACCGATTGGACAACACACCTTGTGTGGTTGTGACATCGAAATATGGATGGAGCGCCAACATGGAAAGGATCATGCAATCTCAGACCCTATCAGATGCAAAGAAACAAGCATACATGCGCGGTAAGAGGGTGCTCGAGATCAACCCCAGGCACCCGATCATCAAGGATCTTCGGGAGAGAATAGTGAAGGATCCGGAGGTATGTTATAATTTTACTTTGGATCATGTTAAATTGTTAATCTTAAACGAATAAAGAAGGGGAAAGATTAATAATTATGAGTGTTTAGTATAGGCTAGCTAGCTCGATCAATCTCACAAACTAAGATTTAATAATATGATAGGATTTAGTGCGACAACTTTGAGAAATATCAAAAGTGATTTTAGAAAACCATGAATTGATATATCCATTAACTTGTAACCCGATATATTTGTACATATAGGATGTGGGTGCAAAGAATGCTGCAAAACTGATGTACCAGACAGCACTCCTGGAAAGTGGGTTTATTCTGAACGACCCAAAGGAATTTGCCTCCCAAATCTATGACACGGTGAAGACTAGCTTAGACATCAGTCCCGACGCGACCGTTGAGGAGGAAGATGAAGCAGAAGCCGAAGTCGAGA